AAGGACATAATTTGTGTGCTGAAAATATTTTTTATGGCTGGTTCTCATTTCAAGGATGTGGTATTTATTTATTCTCTCTGAAGCCTGCAATGGTATTTTTTTCTTTGAGAATTTCCTTTTCCACATAGTCTGTTTCTTTCCAGATGCAGTTTTCTGTTTGATTGTCTTAGTTTCCTATGCCATGTGACCTTGGGCAGTCCACTTAGATTCAAGGTGACAATAAAGTTCTGAGCACATGGTGAGAGGGGCCTATTGGTGTTAAGGTCACTGCGCGGCAATTTGGGAGAGTTTGGGGGGGGTGTCATGAGGGTGGGGGACAGACCTTTCCTTTAGCTTTAGGGCTGGTCAGACTTCCAGAGAACAGGAGTCCAGGGACTAGTGATCTGGGAGCTGCCTGGAGGAGGAGGAGAGCTGAGGACCACTGAGGTCAGCAGTCAGTTACAGAGTCACCCAACAGCCCTGTTTTCATAGAGCTCCCAGGTCCTCAGCTGTGCCCAGGCTCAGATGCCCTCTTTCTTATTACCAGAAAATAAACTCACAGATTTCTGCCTTTCCCAACTGTTTCTGCCCTTTTTCCTGCCACGTCCTCACCTGAGCCTAACTGCCCAGCCCAGGAGTGGAAGCCCTGCCCACAGGGGACATCAGAGTACTCCTCTTGGGGTTTTCAAATGCCATTTGGGACAAGAACCCGCCCTCCTTGGGTGGTGGAAGAGAAGGTGACACAGGAAGAAGAAAGCTGATGCAGAGAATATTGGGATGTGATGGACAGTTTGCCCGTCACTTCTAAGGTCCCAGCCTGGCTCTCCAGCCTGAAGTCCTGAGGCCTGATCCACCCCGCCTCCCCGCTCCTCCCCCCAATCCCCATGCAACAATGCAGGAAATCTCTCAATAATTGTCCCCACTGGTTTAAGTGTGGCATGGCCTTCTAAAACACACAACTGAAACAGTCATGACTTGCATCCCCTGCACATCTGTGGTCTCTGGTAAGGGGGAGGGGGGGTGGGGTGGCTGGAGGATGCCAGCATGAGGACCCTCAACCCACTGTGTGCATGGCCTGTGCCCCACACTTGGCACTTCTCCCTTTGAGTCCTTGCAGCATCCCCATCAGGCTGCAACCACCACCCATGCCCACTTGCCATGTTGCTGAGGCTGAGAGAAGAGAATGCCTTGCCCAGAGAAGCACAACTAAGTGGAGAGCCCTGTTGGAACCCAGGCCAGTCAAGGGTGGACAATGAGATTGGAGCCATGGACACCTGTCAGCACTGTGGCCCCTGGCCCAGCACTGAAGCCCCTGGCACCCCCCCACCCAGGAAGTGGCAGTGGATTCTTCCTGTTGTGTTCTCTTCTTCCTGGTAAAGAGGCCATGTGTGGGAGGGGAAGTGGGCAATGTCTGCCAGCTGTGCCACCAAGGAGCCAAGTCAAGGTTAGGGAAGGAAGGGGCAGTGAGGCCTCAGGAGGAGGGAAGAGGCAATGACCTTCATCCCTGAGAGCACCCAGCAGCCAGGGCCACAGGGCTGATGGTGACAGGAAAAGGGGAGGTGAATGGGCAGCTGGGATGTAAGCTCAAAAAGGTCTTCCTCTCAGCAGGAGGGTGAGCAGGCCAACGGCAAGGTCCCCACTCAGAAAACCAAGCCAGGAACCATGGTGTCCTCCCTGACCCCCTACCCTCCCTCACCCCCAAATCCCACCTCTAACACTTAACAATTCCACCTCTTAAACATTTTTTTCTTTACATCAAGTTTATTTTAGTTTTATTTACATAAAGTCACCCTTTTGTAGGTGCACAGTTCTGAGTTTTGACAAATATAGTGATATAACCACCACCGTAATTAAAATACAGAGTATACCCATCATCCCTGAAAATTCCGTGGCCCCTGGTCGTCATTCCCCTCCCTCCACTTTACCTTTGACAACCACTATCTGATTTTGGTTTTTCCAGAATGTCATATAAGTGGACTCATAGATAATGAAGCCTTATGTTTGGCTGCTTTCACTTAGCACGCTGTTTTTGTTACTTGTCCATATTGTGCTCTTGTCAGCAGGCAAGTCCTTCCTGCTGCCAGGTAAGAGCCCCCCCGAATGGCTGTACCACAGTTCAACCACTCACTGGATTATGGACGTATGTGTTGTTTCTAGTTTTTGAGTGTTCTGAAGAGTTGCTATAAACATTCACATACAGCTATTTGTGTGATGTTTTTATTTCTCTCAGATAATACACTCAGGACTAGCATAGCTGGTTTATGTTTATATTAGATAGGTTTATGTTGAATGTTACCAGAAGCTGCCAAACTGTTCTCCAAAGTGGCTATACGATTTTGCTTTCCCACCAGCAGTGTATGAGTGTTCAGTTGATATTGTCTGTCTTTTTTATTATGGCCATCCTAGTGGGTGTATAGTGTTAGCTCATTTGTGATTTTAATTCGCATTTCCCTAAAGTCTTAAAATAGTTTTAAGAGCAGTTCCTTCCTCTTGACACCTGCTGCCATGGCCCCAGGCCAGGCCTCATCTTCTCTTACAAGGGCCTTTGTAATAACTCCCTAATTGGTCTTGTGGCCTTGAGCCCCTCATCCCTGAAACTTCATGTGCCCTAGTGATCTTCCCCAAATAAATATCTAATCACATCATTCACTTCCTTTCTTAACACTCCTCAACAGCTGCTCCTGACCTCCACAGCCCAGGCTCCCACCCTGTGATGCCCCCAAGGGCCAGCAGGGAAGGGATGAGTGAAGTCACAGTCAGGGGTGGGTAATAGGGAGTTGCAAGGATTGTGGTAAACTAGCGGCCTCACCTAAAAGGCAGCTGCCAATCAGTTCCAGCTGATCACTGCCCTCTGGGAATGCAGGGCCCATGTTCCCAGGGCTTCTAACTCTTTAAGCAAAACCAATAATTGAGATTTTTCAAGTGAAAGCTCACAATTTTTAAATATTGGCAACTACGTCAATTAAAAACAAATAAACAAACAAACAAAGCCTCTCTGGGCTAAATGAGGCATAATTGAGCTGAAGCCAGCTCAGGGACCTCTAGTCAGCAGTCGCCTCCACCTCAAGGCCCTCATAACTCTCCAGTCCCCACTCCCCTATCTCCAGCAAGACCAGGTGACATGGTTCCCTGAACACAGCATGCAGGCCCTCCCTTCTGAACCTTTGGGTCTGAGTGCGCTTTCTGCCCGAACCCCTGGCCCAGCACATTCCTGCTGCCTTCCCAGCTTCAGCTGGGGCTTCCTCCTGTGCAGGAGGCCTTTCTCAACTGCCTCTCCCACCTGGCAGGTTACATCAGCCGTCAGTAGTGCTCACGTGTCCTCCTCAAATCCTCATCACACTTGCGGGAGGATCTTCTTGCTTGTTGGCCTCAAACAAAATTCTGTGGACTCTTTCAAGCATGGACTAGCCCCCCTTGCCCGTCACTGCTGTTCACTGTATTTCATAAACCAGAAAAAAACCAGAGCTCTTTCAGAAAACTCAGCGTGAAATACGTATAGGTGTGTATGTATGTACAATGATTTTTGGTACTCACTTTGCATAGGGTGAGTGCTGTACACTCAGGCCTGGAGTGTCTAGGAATGGGTGCCCCTTCCTAATCTGAGGGGAAGCACCCACAAGTGCTCCCTGGTAAAATCACAGCTGATAGCCAGGTTTCATTAGTTTCCCATAAGCCTTGATGGTGAAAATTTTGCTTCCCTGTTTTCTGTTGTGCACTTGGGGCAGGTGGCAGGTGAAGCAGAGGGGAGGACCACTGCGGGCCCTCCCCAATGCAGGCCACACTCAGGAGCTCCAATTTTGAAGCCATCAGGCCATATACTCAATTTCATAAAACTCACTTTGGTGGCCAAGATAGGGGGCCTAAGAGAGATACATACCATGGATGGATTCCCTCCTCTACCCTACCTACCCCTCCTCTGAGGTTCTGGTGCCCACAGCCTGCTCTGGGTCACAGGCTTGCCATCCTCCCCAAATTCTGCTACCACCTTCCATACCCACCTGCCCCAACCTCCCCATATGCAGGGTGCTGCCTCTTTCCCCCATTTTGTCCACCACAATGGCCACCCTGTAGGCCCAGGCATCCTGTGACAGCTACTCCTCTCCCACAATCCTCCCATCCCATCCAAGGGTCTCTGCGCCCCACCCACAATGTGTCTGGTCTCCTAGCCTCACTTCTGCTTATCTAAACGATCTGGCTTATCTAAACCACCCGGCAGGCTTATCTAAGGCAGGCTTATCTAAACCACCCGGCAACACCCAGTACCCTGGCCTCCCCCATCATTTCAGAGGATCCTAAGACTGCTGGAACTCGACCCAGGGGCTGCAAGGCTGCGGGAGGTGCCTCAAAATGTCCGTGTCAACAGACCCCAAGCCTTAGGGGGCCCTCAGCACTGTACTCATTTCCCCCCATTTACGACCCTGCCCTTCTGAGACAGGCTTGACCCCTGCCCAAGCGCACCGGCCTGTTCTCTCCTTCCACCTGCCAATAACCGGCAGGGGACACTGTCGGCATACGGCCATCTCCTCGGCAGTCCATTCCCCATCCCCCGCTCTGGCTGCACCCCTACAAACTGATTCACAGCGAGTCCAAGGCCCCACCACTCCTCCCCACTCCCTCGCCGTCCCGCCTCCGCTTCCCGAGGGCCATCACATGGGTCCCGGGCGCTGAGGCTCCTGGCTCTCCCCAACAGGCCGCTCCGTCCCCCTCCTCGTCGCTGCTAGTTTGCACCTGCAGCCGTTAAGACCCAACTCTCGGTCCCGCCGGTCCGCCGCCTCCCGGCTCGGCATCCAGCCACCGTGTTGAGGACCCCGTGGGGGACAGCACACTTAGCCGGCACGCCAGGTCGTTATCTGCAGTCCCAGACCGCGCGAACTGCGCCGACAGCCCGAACCAGCACCGAGCCCTGGCCTCCGCCCCGCCGGCTCCGCCCGACGCCCCGCAACGGCCCGCCCCCCGGCGCCATTGGCCGCACCGGTCCGGCTCTCGGCGCAGTGATTGGTCATCGTTCGGGTCGCTCAGGCGCGGCGCCGCGATAGCGGCGGCGGCGGCGAAGGGAGCCGGACCGGAAGGGTCGAATCGCCCCGGCGCCCCTCACACCCATTGCGGCGGCGGCGGCGGCGGCGGCGGAGGCAGCGGCGGCGGCGGCGGCTGCTGCGGGTGCAGCGGGCGGGGCGGCCGGCTGAACCCGGGGCAAGAGCCGCCAGTCCGCCCGCTCGCTCTCTCCCCCGGTGCGGCGGCGGGAGGCGAGGTGAGCCCGGCGGCGGGCTAGGCCTGGCAGGGACTGCTCGGGCCGCGCCCCTCCGGGAAAGGCGGCGGGAGGGCCCGCGGAGGGCGTGGGCGGCGTGGCCGGGGTCTGCGGGCGCTGGAGGCCCGTTTGCCGCCCCTGTCCCTCGGGCTACTGCAGTCGCCCCCGCCCGCCGGCTGTCAGCAGCCCGGGGCTGCGGGCTCTTGCTGGCATAGCTCCTAGCGGCCCTCGGTGGGGTCTGTGGGCGCCACCCCTCCCGACTGTGCGGCACGCAGCTGCACATCCGTGCCGGGATGCTCAGGAGCCGGGTCTGGTTCCTGCGACCTTGGCCATGGCACTGACGCCCGCTGTTCTCTGTTTTCCCCTCGGGAAACTGGGGAAGTGCCTGCCCTTGGGAACCGGGTTGTTGTCAGGCTCTGTGAATGTGTGGGAAAGCGCTTGGGCTGGAGCTCAGTGCACAAACGTGGAAAACTGGGCGGGGTACTGCCCTTTGCTGGCGTGAGTGTGGCAGGAACCCCTCACCGTCCTCCCAGAGTCCCCCATCCCCGCCCTCCTGTGCCTCGTCATTGCTCAGTCGGTGCCCAGCAAGGCCAGAGCGGGCCCCGCCCACCTCCCCTTCCAACCGGCGCCGGAACACTGCTCTCCTATCTCAGCCATCCGCTCACCTACCCTGAACATGCAGCGCCATTACCTTAGGACCTTTGCACTTGCTGTTTCCAGTGCTTGCAGTTGTCTCCAGGATCTGCACAGCTGGCTCCTTGTGGTTCTTCCTCTGGTCAGATGTCTCATTTAACACGAGGCCTTTCTTGACCACCCCCTTTCATCCCTTAGTCATTCTATCATATTATTTTGATCAATAGCTCTGTGAGAACAGGTGGTTGTCTGATTTGTCCACTGCTTTATCCCCAGTGCTTAGAAAGCACACAGTAAGCACTCAGTAGTGTCAGTTCAGTGGATGAATTAGTGACCCTGCCTGCCTGTTGCCTCTGCTTTATCTGTTCATTTAGTGACTTCTGACTCACTTGTGACACAGCGAAGCAGATGGAAGCTTGTTTTCGTTTTAAAATGTTTCGTTGAAACATTTTAATGTCCTTGACCCCTTTATTTGGTAACACTCAGAACACGCTGTAATATAAAATCTTACATCTTTATGTTTGGCTTTAATTTCCTTCCACACATTCAGGAGACATTTATTGAATTCTACATTATTTAGGTCAGGCTTTCTGCTCCGCCTTGGCGACACAAAGGCAATAGCAACAAGGTCCCTTCCTCCAGAGAGCCAGAGAACGCAACAGCAAAGGCAGACATGCAGACAGTTCCAGGACGGTGTGATGCCCGCTGTAGTGGAGGGATTGTGCCATGGAAATGTGGGGAAGGTGACAGGTGGTGCTGGCGTTGAGCCTTGAAGGGTGATGAGAAATTTGCCAGGCAAGGAGAGACACAGAAGTGGAAAAGAGCAGGGTGAAGGGGGAACCTTAGCCCAGTGTGGGGCTGGGCATCAGCCCGCAGGGCCAGGTGTAAGAGAGACAATGGTGGGGACCCTAGAGAACCAGACCTCATGCAGCAATTTTAAAAAGAAGCCTGAACTCTAAATTTGTAACTCTACTCTCCAGTTTTTTAAATGTTGGCAGTACCTAATTTAAATTTTTTTTTTAAATGCTGTGAGCCAAGCAAAATACAAACTTCATTCAGCCTGGTTGCAGGGTTGTCAACCTCTAGGGCAGCGGTTCTCAACCTGTGGGTCACGACCCCTTTGGGGGTCGAATGACCCTTTCACAGGGGTCGCCTAAGACCATCGGAAAACAAAAAGATACTTACATTACGATTCATAACAGTAGCAAAATTACAGTTATAGAGTAGCAACGAAAATAATTTTATGGTTGGGNCGGAAAACAAAAAGATATTTACATTACAATTCATAACAGTAGCAAAATTACAGTTATAGAGTAGCAACGAAAATAATTTTATGGTTGGGAGTCACCACAACATGAGGAACTGTATTAAGGGGTCGCGGCATTAGGAAGGTTGAGAACCGCTGCTCTAGGGCAAGTTACATAGGAGGCAAGAGCTGCAATGAGCTAGAAAGGTAGCCTGAGGCCAAGGGAGCTAGTTTGTCCAGATACTCTCATTTAATTGTCACCGGAGCCCTGTAAGTGGCAGCTATGAAACCCATTTCTACAGAGGAAATGGGGACTCACAGAATCTTAGTAGTCTGCTTCATAGAAAGCCACTAGGAGGTGATCTGAACCCAGGTCTCCCGCAGATCAGCATTCTTTCCTGGGTCCCTCAGCGGTGAGTATTCTCCTTTGGCTTGTAAATTGTTCTGGAAGAACAACATCCAATCTAGATGTTCTCCTTCATTTAACCCTTTATTTTTTCCTTCCTAAGGATCCTTCACAGTTAACAATAATCCTATTTTGGCATAGTCTTCTCTGGAGAACTTTGATTTTCCTGAGGATTTAATTTTCAGGATGCCAGGGCTTTAAATAATTTGTTGATAGATTACAATATGTTTATTTGGCCCCCCCTAAATAAATGTTAGAGGATACATTTCAATTTGTTCATTTAAAATTAACTGTTCTTAATTATTTGATAAAGAAAAGTGCCAAAAGAAGCAATTAATAATGAGTAAATCTGTTGTTTTCATGATGCATAAAGTAAAACAGAAAGCACATTTTTTTCTTAACGCAGTTGTTTCAGCAGTATTGCAGCTATTAACTCCTGGTTAAGAAGGTGACGTTTTTACCTAATTTTCCTTAAGAATAACTAAATTTGTATTTGGCCTTTTGTGATTGTGGGAACTAATTTCAACACCAGTCTTTCTTTCAGCTATTTACTATGAGGACCTTCAAACATATATACCAAACAAAACAAAACAAAACAAGACAAAAAACCAGAATAATGTCAACAATTATCAGCTCCAGGCCAATCTTATTTCATCCCTAACCTCATCTACTTACACCCTCACCCCCCCTCCCCCATATTATTTTCAAGCAAATTCTATATAGGTCATTTCATTTGTGAATTTTTCAGTATATGTCTCTAAAAAATAGGGACTCTTTTAAACTTGGAAAAGCAATAATTTGTAATATAACCAAATAACCAGTCAGTATTCAAATTTCCCGTTGTCCCATTCATTTTAGAGTTTCTGTAATAGTTTGTTTATTGGAATCAGGATCCAAAATAAGGTCCATACATTGTGATTGGTTGACAGATCTTTTAAGTGTCTTTTAATCTGTAGATTTCTCCTCTTTTTCTGTTTTTGTTTTCCCTGTAGTTTATTTGTTGAATCAATTGGGTTCTGTAGCATTTCTGTTGTTGGGTTTTACTGCTTACATCTCTGCAATGTCATTTAATGTGTTTCTCTATGTTTCCGGAAAATTCATAGTTGGATCTAGACGAGGCTTGGTCAGATTCAAGGTGCCTTCCTAGGTAGGGTGCACTCTCCCATCGCAGGTAACCCTGCTGGGCTCTCGCTGGGGTGTTAGCAGCAGTTGACACTCAGCCCGACACCTATTAGGAGGTTATATTATTTGGGGGGTAAGTTTGTATATCTTTTGCCCAACAAGAACTCATTTTTGAAAAAAGAACTCTGGATCTTCTCCAATTTTATATTGGCCTTTGAATTGCCATTTAAAATATTTTTAATTGATGCGTCTAATCCTTTAGGAAAACGTTGGGGATAAATTAATAGATACAAAATTAATGAGCGGAAAGTCATCACCGTTTTAACATAGGAATGAATTCGTTACAACTAAGGAAATTTACAAATCATTTGAAGGTGAGATTCAACAAATGTGATTTTTTAAAATTCATTTGGTATTTTTGTTTGTTGTTTGGTCCTATAAAATACTCCCCCCACCCCCAGGCTGATTTTACTGTAGTATCTTTCTTAAGCAAAGACTGTATACTCTAAAACATGTCAGGAAAAGTAAAAATAGATTCTAAGGATATATGGATTGCAAATGAGATAGTTCTTATTTTTTCTTTAAAATGAGGCATTAATATTAACTTCCCTTTATGTTAAATAGGCTCTTGCCTGTTCTGAAATTGTCTTTAAAATAACTTCTTTTAAAAGAGTGTGTATATACATTATATTTCTACAGAACTCTAAGTGATTTAATTTGTTAGACTATTTAAATATTGTATATCTCAACTGATGCTGCTACTACCTGATTTTTAGCATCTCTAGGCTTGAGGGTACAGCCCAGGTAGTAAATCCACCAGCTCTGATTCTGGAATCAAAGTCTGTTTTGCCAACTCCTAACTGTACTCTCATAAACACAGCTACTGTTATATGTTATAAAGCAGATGTCTTCAAAAAAGTTCCCAAAGCATCATCCACCTACCACCTCCCTAGAATGAAAAGTAAATTCTGTGCATTGCCTGCTGTCTGTTGTGTCTTTCCCTGAGGTGCACACCTAGTATTAGTTGTGTCAGCTTTTGCACTTACCATGTTTTAGTTCACATTTTCAGAATTCAAACATTTGAATAGTTAATAGAATGGGTGTAGTAATATCTGTTCAATGTCAGCTGATATTGAGACATTGACCTGTGCTGAGCAATGTGCCAGCCGTCCTCTGAGGTTGATTCTGTGCTCATCCTCATTTTACAGGTGAGTGTAATCGCTTGCCCAAGGTCACCCAGGTAAGTGGCAGACCCACTGCCCTCCGACTCCAAAGTCCTAATCTTTAATTTTTTACAATGATACCTTTTATTGTGTTGTGTATCACAATTAAAATTTTGAATAGAAAATGTATAAATCCTAATATAGACAGCTATTTTGACAGTTGTAAGAAATATCACCCTAAATCTTAAATCTGTATACTATAATTTAGAAGAGAGTAGCGCATTTTTTTTCTTTTTACCTTTTGAACCCTTCACCCATTTCTCTTACCCCCTATCTCCCCACCTCTGGCAACCACCAATATGTTCTATGTATCTATAAGCTTGTTTTTTTTATATTTGTTAATTTGTTTTGTTTTTATATTTTCCATATAAAT